GGAAAGAGCCACCTGAAATTGATACAGTTTTCACAAGGAAAGGGTCACTTTCGGCAGGGTTCAGAAATGTGGTTTTAATGGTTAAAATACAAAATATAGGATTTATTTTTTTTTCTATTCTACTGTCTTTCAAAAAATATTTGAGTGAAGTACAAAAGCTGAGCCTTTGGTTCACCTTTCATGACACAGACATACCATAGCAAACATCAAATGTCTTCACATTGATTTGCTGGTGTTTCCCATGTCTCCTCATCTACATAGTGAATCACCTGTGATGCCTGACCTACGGCTGCTTTTTCACTTGGATCTATAAACTATTCTACTGTCTTTCAAAAAATATTTGAGTGAAGTACAAAAGCTGAGCCTTTGGTTCACCTTTCATGACACAGACATACCATAGCAAACATCAAATGTCTTCACATTGATTTGCTGGTGTTTCCCATGTCTCCTCATCTACATAGTGAATCACCTGTGATGCCTGACCTACGGCTGCTTTTTCACTTGGATCTATAAATAATGCATCCTGTTCTTCTTCCGCTAATTGAAGGTCAGAGCTACAAGAAACATTAGATCCATCAAGTCTGTCTGTCAAAAACTCCGCTGCAGCTCTAGAAGCTGATCCACTCTCAGTTTCAGCTGCTGGCTCTGTTTTTAAGTGAAGTCCAAACATGTCATTTCGGATGATGTATCGAACACACTGCAGAATCACATTCCTTTCATGCCGTATGTCCTGGGCTAATAACTAGAAGAAAAAAAAGAGAAAGTGATGCAGGTTCTGTCTTCTCGTCAGTAACAGATACAAACTAAACAAGATATGATGGCGTAGTTAATTAAATGTGCAAACTTATTTAAATTATGTAATAGGTTTGCACGCAAGACCTGGAACCCAAGAGGCAGGAGAAACAAACCTATTACTGTAGATTGGATCAAAGTACTGAACTCAATCTCAGTACTAGCACCAATTTACAGGGAGCGCTGGCAAAGTCATAGACTCATCTGTAAACTGGGATTACTTTCCAAGGATTCTGCCAGGCTTGTAACAGTGACACAGTTACAAGTGACCCCCAAGAGAGGGGTGTTGGGGAGTGCACTGAGGGAGGAGCCACAGCCCCCTAGTTTTCATTAAAAAAAAAAAAAAAACACGCAAAGCTTCTTCAGTAGACTGCTCAAGACATTATTTTCTTTGAATTCCTACTAATGCTTAGAGAAAGTTAGCCTAATATTTACAACAGTTTGAAGACTGTAGCATGTTTTTAGTGTTGTGAACACTAGGAGTAAATAGATTTTCAGTAAGCTGGGAATATAAAGTAGGAAGTTAAACCTGTAACGATCTTATTTATAAGAAACCAGTTGTAAAAAGTTGCACTCAGCTGAACTTGGAAAGTAAATATGTGATGGGAAGCAGTTTTTTGTTAAAATTTATTTCCAGCAAAGTAGCCATTTAGAAGGGAATCTGCTTATTGAGAATAGCTTTTTTAAAGAATTGCAGGCACTTAGTCCATAAGATGAACTAGTTACACTTCTTTGATATTTACCAATATCTAACATTTTTGGTATGACCGAAGACAGTTCAGCTAGTGAAACGTGCTATACTCAATATATTGAACACACAGTGTGGGGACAGTGTAACAACATTTTTGTTACTGTAGTTGCAGAATTCACAAGTAGCAGGAACAAGCAGATGTGATGCACATCCTTGAACACATTATATTCAAATCATGAACAACTGGATACACCACATCTTTTTATTCTTCTGTATGTACTGACAAATATTTGATGAAATATGACGTACACGTTTTGTTATTCTCGGTCAGTCTGTATACTACAGTATACAACATGTAACTAAACCTTCATTTTCATACATGGGACTATGCTAAACATCTTGGAAATACGGAAGGTGATTTAATGAATGCCAAAAGAAAGCTCTGCAGTACTACTACCTGCTCTGCTTTTTTTTAAAAAGCATTTTCCCTCACAAAGCATTTTCTTTCAACAAGAAAATCCCTTGGGGGGAGGAAGGGAGGTGGATAGGTTTTCTACAGGCTTCCTGACTTGGTTTCTCAGCATTTTCACCGCATAGACCACTTTCCACAATGACAATCCTCTTCTGGAAAGATTCCATCACAAATGCCCACTCTAAATCTACACTTTTCCTGCTATAGCCATAGTGATGGATGTATGAACAAGTAACGTTAGGACAATATGAAAGTGAGAAGACAAAAATAAATGTGCTTTACAATTAAACATCTGTTCCAGACAACTAAGATCCCCAGCCCACATATCGTATCTATGCAGTTTATTCCCTCTCTCTGGCTGTAGGACTTCACATTAGTAGCCAAGTCTTTTTTCAGTTTTTACTGGTCTGATCCCTCAAGTTGCTTTATAGATTGGTTCCCTCCTCAACATTGCTACACTTCTGATTTCAGTACTGCTTGAAAGGAACCAAGGTTTTGTTTTCTTAACCCCCAAGCTTTGTGTGCAGCATGATTGCCTCTAAGAACCATCTGCACATCTCTCACAATCTATTTCCTGCCGTTACTGAGGCCTTGGACATTGGTGGCACCTCAGTCTTTCCTACTTCTCTCAGTCTCTGGCACACAACAATTTAATAATTTGATACACAGGAAGACAGACTAGATGATATAATGGTCTCTCCTGGCCTTAAGCTTTATGAAATGACAGTTCGCTCACAGCTGAATCTGCCAAAAATATAAAAGGCAACTGTGTTGGATGAAGACAGGTTTCACTTCCCGCCCGGCTTAAGTGTAGTTGGTCAGAGTAATCTATACCTGTCTTCAGCTAGGAAAAAAAAAAAAAAAAAAAAAATCACAATATGAAGACTCATTGCTTTGGCCAGGGAGGTTTCACCTAAATCTTCAGAACACTAGTGGTTATTCAGGTCAATTTGTGAGCCACTGAAAGTTATATTTCTACATAGCAGAGACTTGTGTATGTGGGAGAGGATGGGGAAGAAGGACAGAAGAGAGTTGCATGGGAGGCCTGGTAGCTATTCTAGCTGATAGGAAACAGGTGCTGATGGGGCACAAGATCACCATCTAGTCTGTCTCAGCCAGACACAATATAATCACACCCTCACTCAACATGGGGCCTCACATGAAGAGGACTACAGGAGAAAAGAAGAGGAGACTCAGAATAAGTGCTGGACCACATAAAAGCAAGCAAGATTTAGAATGCGGCTCTTGTTTACAGAAAAAAATGCCCCCAATGTAGCTTCCTAACTATGAGTACGTCTACACAGCAGGGCTAACGTCAAATAAGCCATGCAACTTCAGCTATGTTAACTGTGTAGTTAAAGTTGAAATAGCTTAATTCGGCTTTAGGTGCTAGCCACACAGCAGGGAGTTGGGGGAAGAGCATTCTTTCGCCGACTTCCCTTACTCCTCATAAAATGAGGGTTACAGGAGTTGGAGTAAGAAGTCCTCCAGCTTGACATTATTTTGAAATAACGAGTTACTGTATAGGCATGCTCTTTGTTATTTCAGAATAACTGACGTTATTCCAAAATAATGCTGCTGTGTGAATATACCCTATGTGACTAAGTTTTCAATTCTGGCTTGCCAAAGCAAGCCACTATCCGAACAGTACCATGGAGTCATCTGTTTACATATTTGTGCTACATTTCTGCTGAACTGAATTTCATCCAGTCACCATATTAAAAGAGCTGATTTAGACATATTTATACAGCAATATGATTCACGCATAGTTAAAGACAGACCCCTCTGTGGTAGGCGACCATTATTTGAGAGAGAAAAGTCCTTTACCATTTCCAACAGCGTTGGGCGACGTTTGGGCAGTACAGGGAGCGACTTCTTCCTCCATCTGTTAGAGCCTCTACAATTCCCTGTGTTCGTATTTGAGTTCACTAATGTTGCACTTGTAAATTCTGCAGGTTCCTTGCGGTTTACGCTATTTGGCCTTTGAGGGATATTTGAAGCCGGAGGGATATCTCGGAGGACAGTCTGATTTTCCTTGAGAGCTGTTGTTACAACTTTGGCAGGAATTTCTAAAAAACAAAAACAAAATAAACCGAACAAGAACAAAGCTGTAAACTCTCAAAGTCCTAACAATCTCAATAACAATCATCTGTCAAAGCTGACGGCTCACCTAGTTACTACTGGGAGTAGCATGCCCTGCTCTAATGATCAAGGAATTCCACAGAGGAGGGGCGACGAAGAGTCCTGTGGCAGATTCAGACTAACACGGCTACCCCTCTGATACTTGACACCACAGAGGAGGAAATCTTATCACCATTCCCATATGAGAAAACAAGCCCGCCAAACTTAAGTGACTTGCCCAGTAACAAAGAATCAGCAGTGAGACTCTGGGACAGAATTCAGGTCCCTCTGCCTTGCAATCAGTCCCATGCGCTATATATTAGAGCAGGGGTGGGCAATAATTTTTACAGGGGGGCCACTTAATGAATTTTGGTATGTGGTCACAGGCTGGCTCCACCCCTGGAAGGGGAAGGACCTGGGATGGAAGGGACAGGGCTGAGGACTAGCCCCTCCCCACCAAGAGTTGTGTGGGCCAGAGGTTTTGAATTAAATACACAGCAAAGGGCTCATGGTTCCCGGCTCCCAGCCCTGCTGCTACCATGTTGCCTGGCAGCCGCCTGGGATTGCTACCGCTATTTAAAAGGTGCCGTGATCGGGAGCCAGGAGCCATTTTAATAGGATCCTGCTGCCTGAGCCACTGCCTGGAAATTCAGTATCATGGATATCGGGAGATAAATAGAAAGTGAACAGATGCAGTCCGCAGGCCGGATCAAAGTGTTAGGCGGACCAGATCCCGCCCCGGGCTGCATTTTGCCCAGGCCTGCATTAGAGCACTCTGCTTCCATTTTATAACCCAGTCTGGAGTGAAATACACGGACAAGAAAAATAGCCTTAAGGTTAGGTATATCCTGAGACTTGCAAAATCCAAACAATTCCCTGCTCTGCCACAGGCTTCCTTGATTACCTTGGGCAAGTTACTCAGTCTCCGTGTTTCAGTTGCCTGTATGCAAAATGGGTGGTGACAGAACTTTCTCGGCAGGGTGCTATGAAGATAACTATATTAAAGACTGTGATGTGCTCAGATAGTATTGTAATGAGGACCATGTAAGGCATGATCTCCACATATAAGAATGTGTACTCAATCTTCAAGCACTATAAGAATCTCTAGTGGTAGCTTCCCTATGTGGAAATTGCTAGTCGCTTGGAGATTAGCTCATGGGGTGAATGACAGCATCTTCCTGGCCCTCTTCACCCAACACAATTTTAGGATAAGAATTCTAAGGCTGTTTTCCCCCTCAAGTACATTTTTTCCAAAAATTATACATCCTATCCCCAAAAAAGCACTTATCCCCACATTTATATCAGTCCAAAGGGGTAGGACAGAGCATATAATCTTTTGGGGATGGAGAGAAGAGGCAAAATAAGAAAAACACAACACTGTGAACCTGTCACCTTTGGAGGAAACTCTGGAATATAGTATTTAAAAAAAAAAGATTATTAATAGACAGTTGATGAACTCAATCACAGGACTGATCTGGTAGACACTTCTGATGTTCTCACTCTGACTCCTGAGTGTACAAATGGTACATTGTGGGTGCTACTGTGACATAAATAATGAGTGGTCTTTCTTCCAGGGAGAAACAATTGCTCTCAGGGTAGGCTTAATGAAGTCTGCTAGGTTTTCCCTACCCTTCCATCATTTCCATTCATCCTGTTACCTTCATCATCCTCCATTTGTGACTATGTTCATATGAAGTACACTGAAAGCAGACAGAACTCCAAGCCTAACAGCAGAAAACCTTCCTCCTTGACATACAACATATGCTACCTGTAACACATGTACTCCCTCATCTCCTAATAAGCCAAAGCGAAGAGCTACGGCTGCTCTCAAATACTCCACCAGCAACCTGAGGTGCCAGAAACCAAGATGACTATCCTAGAAGTAAAGCCATTAATGTCTGTTAGATCTAAGAATAAATCTGAGAACATAAAAAGCTTCACATTTACATATTCATAAGTGAAGGCGAGAATATAGATAGGACAACAGGGAAGGAGGGGGAAAAGAAAGAGGGGCAAGAGAGAGCAAGTGCCCACATCACATGCCACCTTCCTTCTCAGACTGCCCTTTACACAGAGATGAAATGGCCTTTTCTGGTATACAGTGGATTCCTTTGATATTCACAAGACAAGAAAAAAAGCTTGTTAGGCCGCAACTCACCCTCTGGCTCGCTCTCGGTATCTGATGCGCTGCCATAGTTGGCCACCAGTAAACTCAGGGCAGAGGTTACCTGCTTTGGAATGACAGTCACCCCCGACTGCCCATCCTCCACAGTTGCTCCATCTTTGTCCGACTCTGTGAAGAGAGAACAAAGACTTTTCACCACTCCTATATATCGACAGCCAGCTTTGTTACTAGATCTTCTCTCAGAGAATATGTATCTGATACTGGACGAGGTTATTCAACCCCATTGCCTGATATTTTCTTCTTTCCAGAAAAGGCAGCAGGAGCGGTCTAAACACTGGATTTATAGCCCTGACAAAGACCCCAAGGGAAAAAATAGTGTGACTTCTCTGAATAAGGAGTTAGCTCCATCTTCACACAGTGAATTTAATTACAGGTTTTGCTATTAATTGTAAATAGAAAAACTTTAGTTTTCTGGATGTAGTTGGGTGATAAGTATATCCAGAAATTCATCTTTTACAGGGGGAAGAGTTATATTTAAATTTACACCTTCCAAAAGGTGAAGAAATTTTGAGATCATGAAACCACTTTATGAGACATTCAAATCAAAAAGATGATGGCAATGAGATCTCTGAGAACACGGCTACTTACAATACCATCTATATGGATGCCGCTTTACTGATTTAAGATCTTATAATCAAAGTTGTTCATGATAACATAGAATGCTAGGGAGCTAAAGGGATCAATGACTTATGAATAGCTGCAGTTGGGCAGTAGGAAAACTCTACTAAAAGCATCCCAAAGTAAACAATTCAAATCACAGATGCAAAAGGCTATATTACCATGACACCACATCCTTTGGAGATATCACAGATTCCTTATGGTTAAATGCCAGCATTTGAATACAATACATTTCAGTGCTTTTACTGTGAACCTACATGGAAATTTGGAGGGGGGGGGGAGGGGAGAGGAAGAAAGAAATTCAACCCCTCTATTAGGAATTAGAAAGGTATCTGTTGAAACTTTTTGTGCAAGTCTGGTTCAATTACAAGAATTAAAAGAAACATTACCTGAAATCAGGATTTATAAAAAAAAATTTAGTGCTCAAACCCTATACTGATTATTAAAATGAAAATTTGCAAAATGCACTTTGCCACTATGTGTATTATACTTTTTACATTTCAGATCATGAAATCAGTTTCACTTTTAAGTTCTCAATATTGCAGAATTTGGTTTCAATAAGAGGGATTTAAAAAAAAAAAAGCTTTTTTTGATGAAAATGTTACTAAATCTTTGTTTTTAAAATCAAAGTTAATTCCAGGTCAAATTTAACACTGTCCCTTTAATCTATTTATTGTGGAGCTGTAATACTGTACAAAAGTCCTACAGCCAGAGATGGCAGCAACAAATTTATGACCTACTGACCTTTGAATTGCCTTGACCATCATGCAAGAAAAGTCCCAATAACATTTTGAGGGGCAGACAGAAGAGTTGTCAAGTATAACACACTCACCAATGGCATCCTCTAAACCAAGTGTAAAGTCTTTGAAAGACAAGCTCTTATCAAATCACCAGTGCTATTAAAAAGCTGTTACCTAACTTTTTCCCACTGAAGTAAAGGATTTCTCCAAGCTCCTTCCCTTATCTTACCAGCGTCGCTATCTGCCAGAATGCCAAGTGGGTCGACATCCTTCATACAGGTCTGTGCATCTGCAACTGGTCCACTGGCTGCAGTTTGAGCTTTCAGCGAAGATGCACTACTTCCATCATTTTTCTTAAACTTCTTCCAGAATGGACGCTTCTTCTTCTGCCTTCCATGTTGCCCAGAAGTCTCTTCATCTTGTGGAGCTTTCCACATTCCTATCATTTTGCTGGAGAAAAGAAAATGTAAAATTTACACAAACAAAAGCACACAAAGTAAATGAAACTAATCAAGGTTAACACCCCCTTTTTAAAACAAACTCTGTGCCCTAAGGCAGCCAAGAGATTAGAAGAATATTTTGCTGTCCGTGCAACATTTTTCAACTTTCCCTGTCTTACACTGTGTCTGCCCTGCTTCAATACTTTAATTCACCAATTTCAGCATATTAGTCGGGACATGTAGATGACTAGAACAGCTATCTTCAAATGCTTTACTTGACATAATGGAAGGAGGAGAAAGCTAGGCTGGACACAAACATGATAAGAAGACTAGAAAGAAAGTGAGACAGAGAAATGGAGAAACACACACATTCATGGAGATAGGACAAATTATGAACTAAGAAAGTTAATTGATCTCCAACACCATGGTTGGAAAGATTCCTAGATTCTCCCTTTCACATTACAAAGTCGACATTCTCTTTATTCAGACAAATAAGGCCATCAAAGGTAGAAAAATAGAAAGGAAAATATCTGTCATTAGCACACATCCATTACGCCTTAGTTTTAGCATACATAGCTACAGCATTGTGCAGAATACTAAAGCCTTAGATGCATCAGACCAGCATATAACTAGGGATATAGTCAACTAATCACTTATCAAGCTTTTGCTTATCAGGATAGTTGACTAGTTCATCAACTAGTCGTTTACCCCCGCCACCATCCTTGCTGCCGCTAACAGAGGTAGCAAGAGGGAGGGAGCAGGAGCTGGCGGGAGCTGGCTTAAAAGCCAGTTCCCCCCCAGCACCATCTTCGCAGGGAAGTAGAGGGATCGGGCATGAGCTGGGATTTAGCTGATTCCCAACCCATACCCAGTCCCAGATGCTGCAACTCTGCTTTTTAAATGTATTAAGAGCCTGCCAGCAATACTTAATCAATGGTTCCTAAGAGCAATACTTAATTAATGTTGCACAGTTTAAGGGATGCTTTGATGCTGGAGGTGCTGTCTTTTAACACCAAGACATAAAACCAAGGTCCTGACCAGTTATGGTCACTAAAAATCCAGGGCACTTCTCAAGAATCAAAATTGGATATTCTAGTCAAATTCCAATTTGGAAACTGCATTCTCTCTTCACCAGCTGGTTCTATTAGTAAAAATTTATTCTTCACTTCTTGTTCAGAATTACAACATTATTGTGCAGTATTAACCAGAAGTTACATTTCAGCCTGCAGAGAGCTGCATTTAAAGTGATAGGTGAAATGGCCCTTCATAAGGATGGTGAGAATTAACATTTGTAAAGCACTTCAAAGGGCCAGAATTCAGGAGTGTTATAGAAGAATTAAGTATCAACTGCTTTTTAAAAATCTTACTTAGCTATTTTCCTCAATAGGAAAACTTTCAGCGAGCAAGCTGAATTCTTTCTGTATGTCACATCAGTAAATTTGAAAGTTTAAGCACCAGTTCCAGTGTTGTTGATATTCATATTAGAGATTGCAGATTTTTGGACAGCAGATTCAATGTATAGTGCTAACAGTTTGGAAAGAAACTTTTTAAGAAAGCCAGGATAAGAGAGGTCACAGAGTGAGAACAAATAGGAAATAGCTAAGGCCATTTTTTTGATCATGCCTCCAACCAGAAGATTTAAGTGTAATCGCAGAAAGACTGCTAAGTGCTACTGATCTATCACAGCTCACTAGTGAAGCTACGTGTTATAACAAAAATGATTGAATACCACTGACTATTATTTGAAGCGCCACTCTTTCACACATTCAGTACTTGAAATTCACAACTAGTACCGAGAATCAAACACTTATAAAGGGTAGCCCTAAAATTAGAGATACATTCACATAAGGAGAATCTCATCTTATTCCTTTAAAAACAAGAGGCTTTGCTATGGGCCAGGAGACATGTGTAAAGGCAATCGAAGATGTTACCAGAGAAAGTGACAAGAGTAACTTCTGAACCATCATCTACAATGATATTTGCAATAGTGGACATTATCAAATTAGATTACATGGGTATAAGCTCCATATTGCATTAGAGATGTGAATATTTAACCAGTTAACTGGTAAGACTCACCCTTAACAGGTGAGGCTTACTGGTTATAGTTAACTAGTGGGGGCTGGAGAAGCCCCATGGTGCCTGTTGCAGATGAGGGGAGGAATAGTGGGGGTGCTCCAGCCCAGCTTGAGCAGCCCCCTCTGTGGCAGGCTTAGCCCAAGCACTCTGCAAGAAGGGGCAAACTGGCCTGCCACAACGGGCAAGGGGACTGCTCAAGCCCAGCTGGGAGGGACAATCCTCCACTCGCCCCATTTAATTGGCTAACCAATTAAACAGGATTTTTCACCCCTACTTTGCATTTGTGCAGCCCATCTATAGGATCTATTTGCACTTGGGTAAGCAAATCAATGTGGATAATTTCAGGGCTCAAGACAACTTCCCCACAGCTGAAAGAGAGACTCACAAAGAGGAAGGAAGGAGTCTGCCAATACAAGTTGGGGCCATTCTTGATGCTCCCACTCCCTCCCTCTGGTCCATTAAACCAGACCCTATGGGTGTGTCTAGACTACAGGGCTTTGTCGACAAAACTATACCTGTGTCTACGCTACCGCTGAGTTTGGTCGACATAACGTCGACAGAACTCACCAGTTTTGTCGACGGTGGTAAACCTAATTCTATGAAGAATAATGCCTTTTGTTGACAGAGTTCTGTTGACAGACGGCTTTATTGAATCTACACTGTCCTTTGCGTCTACACTCATGTCGACAAAGCAGCTTCCTTTGTCGACAGAACTGTATGTAGTCTAGACACTCTTTGTCGACAGAAGCTTTGTCAACAGTATCAGTCAACAAAGCTTCTGTTGACAAAAGCCTGTAATCTAGACGTACCCTAAATGTTTGAAGACTATAATACTTTTTAAAAATTCCTCCCTATGAAGCCACTGATAAAGCTTGACACGAGGCAGACAGTATGTAAAAGGAGAGAGGGAGCAAAGGCCACTCATATAAAGGTCTGGAGGGAAAAAATAGTGCAGAGTACATGAGGGGAGCAAATAAAATCCGAAGAGGAAAAAAAAAGAGCCCCAGGCAAAAGAGTAGTCAAGATGAGTCAGGATGGAAGAGTACTGCTGACAAAGTACCTTCAAAGCAATTTACAGTGCTAATTAGACAGCTTAGAAACATCATTCCTTAAGCTTATTGCTGCTGCTCTGACCCCACCCATCTGAAAGAATGCGGGGGGGGGGGAGGAGAGATACAATCTCTAATCATAAAACAACTCACTTTTTTTGTCCCCTCCCTCCCCCCAGCTCCACCTCCTCTCTTGGAAGGTAGGATAGAGGGTGCGTTAGACCCATCAGAATTAGGGGGAGGTAAAGCCAGACAATGTATCTGCTTTTTTAGAGACTAAGGGTCTGTACTTTAACCTAATGACTATTGTGCAACTTAGTTTTCTTAAACAATCCAGAGAGTGGAACTCCATAAGCACATCAAAATTGCAAACTTATTGTTTCAACTGGATCAGACTCCCTACAGAACTATGAACAATGTATTAGATTTGTAACATGTTGGTGGGTTAAATGAAAGACACCATACATGTATGTAATCAAAGTGCACTTGTAACAGTTTAAAGTATTTGCAGAATAGGTACAAAGAATCTAAGATGGTATTTTTGGACTACTAGAATAAATAAAATTGTCTGAGAAAGCTTACCCAAACTGTGGAGTTGTCAACACTTCTCCTCTCTTCTCTTTTTCTGCCTGTAATGCTTTCTTCTTTTCAATGTTTGCCAACGTAGGAAAGTTTCTAGAGCAAATATAGATTTGTTTTTAAAATGTTTTACATATTCCTACTCTAAACCACATTTACAGGTTGAAAAGCACAGGAAAGTTTTAGTTGGACACAGAAAAGTGAAATATTCAAATCAAATTGCATCGGTACAAAATATATATTTCACCTCTACCTCTACATAGGTATGTGCAAGCTTTTTCCAAACATACCTCTATGACCGCATAGGATTATGCCCTACAATTTTTTATTTTAAAGTGCTTCATCCAATTTAGTTTAAACTCTCTTTAAAAGGTGCAACATATATTTTAGCAAGATAGTCTCATCCTCCAACATTTCTCAAGTGGTAACAGCTAATATAAACCCCATAATTGTATATGTATAGTTGGAATTAGGTTTTCCAACATGCATTAATCAATATTGAAGTTCATCTGCTGTTTTGATGCCAGTCACTGAGTTTTATAAAATCCCTCTACTGGCCACCTTACTGCCTATCCCTTTCTTTAGATCATTTATAAATATATTTAATAGAACTGGGGGATCCCAGAGGGACCGCACTATTTATCCCTTTTCACTGTGAAAACTGACCATTCATTGCTACTCTTTGTTTCCTATCTTTTAACCAGTTACTGATCCAGGAAAGGACCTTCCCTCTGATCCCATGACTACTTAGTTTGCTTAAGAGCCTTGCTTTGCTATGGAACCTTGCCAAAGGCTTTCTGAAAGTCCACGTACACTATATCCACTAGACCATCCTTGTCCATGTTTGTTGACCTCCTCAGAGAATTCTAATCAATTGGTGAGGTATGATTTCCCATTAAACTCTTCTCCACCATACTGTGTTCATTTATGTGTCTGATAATTGCGTTCTTTCCTATAATTTCATCCAATTTGTATGGCACTGAAGTTGGCAATCCTGGCAACTAAAGGTCAGTAAGCCTACAGAGCTTTTTTTAAAAAACCTGGCATTTCCACAGCTATCCACCAACCAACTGGTATAGATGCTAATTTAAGCAAGAGATTGCAACACTACTAAGTGTGGTATGTAATTTAATATCTTAGGTCTGTCAGAACTCTTGGATAAATACCATCAAGACCTAGTGAATTATTATTGTCCCATTTATCATTTTTTCCTCACAACCTCCTCTGCTGATCTCAATTTGGGTCATTTCCTCAGATTTGTCACCTAAAAATAATCTTGGTAAACAAACTCAAGTTAAGGAAGGCTGCTTCCTATATATGCATATATGCCTAAAAATGAGCCCTATCAACTCAAGAAAAGGATAGATTGGACGGAGGGCAGGGAGAAACATTCTTCTAAGCAGAGATGTCTCCATAATGCAGATAACACTTCTTTCCTCCCAAGCTGAACTTAGTTTATTTATAGACTGTTAACCTCTCTCAGGACATATGTCCAAAATTTTGGACAAAAATCAGAATGGTATTTGCCTCTTTTTTCCGTACAGGGCAATGACACAGCAGTCCATACTGCCTTAGTAACTCCCCTGATGGCCTCACATACAGTTTCAAAATGGGCGGGTGGGGGGGCGAAACAAAGCCCGTAGAAGTTGGCCGTTCAGGGCAGATGAGCAATTGCCCTAACCCAACTCTTGAGACCTCTGAGGCCTTCTCTTTGTACATGTTGTGTTAACTAGGATTTTACCATGTTAACTAAGCATGTTTACCATGTTAGCAACTGTTGTAGTTCAAACACGTGCTAGCATGTTAGCAAGATATGGTGTGCCGTTCGTACTTCACTAGTATTTACTTCAACCTACTAACACATTAAAATATGAACTGCCTCATCTCTGCTAGACTTTTGCCATGTGTTAGAAAACAGGGGATTTAAAAAAATATTTTCTCTAGTGTGGTTACAGTTGCAGAAGGGAAACAAAACCAGGCTAGCAGAAGAGTTTACTTCAGCTAAAGGACCACAGGCAAACCAACCCGATCTTTTGGTCAGCATTAATACTCGTTCACAGAAGCATCCAAGTGTGCACCACAAAGAAACATTGAAGCCTCTCCCTAACCTGAACAGCTAGAAACATGGAAAAACAGAATGGTCAGCCACTGCAATTTTTACTATACCTAGGCCTGAAGCACAACTGAAATGCAAAGATTTCAGAATGGAGTACTCCAGAGTTGCCTTACTACAACTTTCACGACCTTTCCCCAAGAAGAGATTGCTAGAGAAAGGATAGTTCAACTCTTAATGGACTAATGGATCACACAGGGTCATTCTGAAGGAATATTTCCCATATTGCTCTCAAGGGAATTCTGCCCCCCAAAATAAAAATTCTGCACATGATATTTTAAAATCCTGCAAAATTTTTGTCAACAAATAAATGTGGAGGCTCCAGCATGGCAGTGAAGATCACAGGCCACTGGCTGCATGAACGTGGGAAATCACCCCGCAACTCCTCCTCCTCCCCCCAGGACAGGGACTCAGCCATGAGGTAGCACCTGATCCTGACACAGCACAAGGGCTAGGCCTGCCCCAGGAACAACCTGAGGTCTTGCTCCTCTCTGCCAGGCACACTGGGTGTGGACAGGCATGCTCAGCCCTGCACAAGTGTACAGGGTTGGATCCAGGTGTGGGGTGAAAGGGTTCTGTGTCAGACACTATGAATGCAAGCAGCTCAGGAGGAAGGTATGGGGAATCTGGATACAGAGGGGCTCGTGAGAGGTGTTGTTGTGGGTGTACGGGCAATGGGACTCTATAGGGGAATTCAGGTGTGGTCCAGATGCAGAGGGGTGAAGCTCATGGAGGAGAGTTTTTATGGGTCGTCATAATGGGTGGGCCCCCGTTGCTGCAAAAGGATTTGTCATTCTCTTCTCAAAACCCTTCACCTTCTTCTCCCCACTGTCCTCTACTCCTTTCCCTATTCCACCTCCTCTTCCTTCCTCCCTCATTACCTCTCCCCCTTCTCCTATTTCCACTGCCCCCTCCTCTCCACTTGCCCTGCCCCACCACAACAACTCACCACTCAACAGAACGCAAGATGGCTCTCAGCACACAGAAGGGGAACTCAAACAGCACTAGGATCCAGGAGACAGCATCCAGTTGCAGAGTCACAGGGCTTCTCCCTCACCCAGGCAGCTCTGTACTCACAGAAAGCGGGGTGGGGGGGCGGGCAGTAGTACTAGACCTCCTGTGCCCTGCATTCTTTGCCTCTGTTTGGGAGAGGTACTATCCCACTGCTTTTCCCCCCAAACTAGGTCCATTGGCCTCCCCACCCCTTCTATACAAAGTCCCTTTGTTTCTCCTGAATTTTCTGCAGGGAAATGAAGAAATCTGCAGGGAGACATGACTATAATTCCTCCAGGAGTACCACATAAAGGAAGCATGTTGAGAACAACGCGCTCTGAGATACTAAGGTAGGCAAACGTGAATATTCATGGTGAATATTACTTCTTACCCTGCCTCTCTCCCTGCAAACAACTGCCAAAACAAGCAGCACCAGGGAAAACTTAAAGAGACTTTTCCATATGCTTGAGGGAAATACACAAATGAGATTTACTTGCTTTATCAATAGATTTGACATTAGAGCCCTCTACTGGCTGCCTGAATTGTCTGAGTACAGAGGCCCTCAAAATGTACCTAACCACAGCTTCCCTACTTTAGGTTTCTGACCCTCTGGGGCTGCAGAGGAGCCTACCAGGCCTTAAGACTACCCAAAATGGGCAAAGTCCATAGTTAACACCACAATTAAAAGAACATTTCCTAGATTTAATACATTCTATATAGGCAGGCTAAGAAAGGAGGAAAGTGTTGATTTTTTCTACTGCAGAAGGGCCTGCATGCTTGGTGTCCGTGCATTCTTACTAATAGGTTTTAGGAGGACACATACTTGGAAGACAGAACAACAAATAAAAAATAAAATATCTTTCAAAGTAACTCTTCATAGTTGAAGAAACAAGCAACAGAAGAGAAATTAAAAAGGGCTAGTGAAATCTTAGCACAGAAATGAACACAACTCTCATCTAATTAGGAGCTTACCAATGATTCACTTAAATAAAAATCCTCCTGAATAACCACAGGAGCTTTCAGAAAGAAGAAAATTATTTTTCTAATATCACAAACCCAAACTGCACAATGGCTCAGACTCCCCTTCCTTTTCATTACAACGCAATATTTACTGAGACATCAGTTCAAACTTGTTACTTTATGAGAGGCCCAATTACTGTTCCACAAAAGCTACCGATCTTAAAATGTATTAATAGAGCATCCTCATTTTATAAAAAGAGTAAGAAACAACACCAGGTAGTAAATAGGTGCAACAAAATGACTATCAATAAGGTGCCTGTGCCACAGAACTACACTTGGACTCTACCCTAAGGAGGGGAAAGGTTTTAGGAGATTTGCTGAAAAAGAAAGTTGCTATGACACCAAATTCCAGGTAATATGTAATAGGGCCAAGAAACTTTTTTGGAATCACTTTAGGATACAGAAGCAGCTTTGGTATCTATAGCAGCTAATAGTTACTGAAGTTATCAAGCTGAAGTCAATCTTATTTTCTCCATTAATTATAGAAGATGAAACACAGGTGGGGTCAGCACAACTAGTTTTCTATTTTAAACAGCAATCTTCAGATTACCATAGATTAAAAAAACTGAACTGGTAACAGAACAGTCCAATTGACTGTGCAGTGCTGTTGATGTAGCAGAACATTTCCACAATTTATGCTAAAAACTGCTACAATCATTGAGGGAAAAATCTTATACCGTAGCAGTGATTTGCCTTTTTCCATTACAGTAGAGTCCCTAGCATCCAACCTAAACAGGACCAACAGGTGGTCAGATTACCAAAAATGTCAGATGATAGGGACTCTACTGTAACTGGGGCCGCTTAGTCCCCATTCCTGCCTGGCCCTGGCCCCTTCCCTCCCTGCAGCTCCCGGGTGCCCAGTCCTGCTCTCTGCCCCGTTGCTCTCCTGGAGCTGCTGATGCCTGCAGCTCCTGGGGATGAAGCGGCTCCAGGGCACGGGCCGGGAGAATGGCCCCGCTCGCTGCCCTGTCACTCTCTTGGAGCCGCTGATGCCGCTCCTGCGGGTCGGATAAAGCAGAATGTTGGATTACTGAAGGTTGGATAATCCGGACTCTACTGTACTCTAATAGCACTTCACTACAGGAGGGCTCTTAAGACAAAAACATCTATTTCTTAATGTGTACTCAATTTGTTTTCTTGTGACAACTGTATTCATAGTGATAGCTATGAAGAAAGACACAACTCCCACTCCCTACAACAAATGCATAACAGGATTATAATCCAAGAGTTCACTGAAGAGCTATAAACCAGTGTACGTACATTTCCATTCAAAAGTCATTAATGCACAGTCAAGTCAAGCCTTATGGAGGCACCTTAGTGGCTCCACAGTTAAATTTATATTGCTTTTTCTGCTTAATGAAAGGTTTAAATGCTTAATGTGAACAGGAAATCTTACACTGATTGTCCCCCCAGATCATTAAGGAGGAAAAATGTCAATTTTCCAACCAAAAAAACAAAGATAATCTGGACCTTGTCACACGCAAAATGACAACAAACTAAAAGGGTATGTCTACACAGCACTTTGAGTTCTGCAAGACGCCTAACCCTGAGTTAGTGGGACTTGTTGTAGCACTCTACAAATAACAGGTCACAACACTGGGCAATTTCGGAAAATATAATACTCTTCACTATAAGGCTGCGTCTAGAGTGGCAAGTTTTTCCGCAATTTTTTGCAAAAACTTGCCAGCTGTCTACGCTGGCCACTTGATTTTGCGCAAAAGCACTGACGTTCTACTCTCCGAAATCAGTGCTTCTTGCGCAAATGCTTTGACATTCCCGTTTGGGCAAAAGCCCTTTTCCGGAAATGCTTTTGTGCAAAAGGGCCAGCGTAGACAGCTAAGAACTGTTTTGCGCAAAAAAGCCCCGATGGCGAAAATGGCGATCGGGGCTTTCTTGTGCAAAACCGCATCTGGATTGGCACGGACGCTTTTCCGCAAAAAGTGGTTTTGCGGAAAAGCGTCCGTGCCAATTTAGACGCTCTTTTCCGCAAATGCTTTTAACGGAAAAACTTTTCCGTTAAAAGCATTTGCGGAAAATCATGCCAGTCTAGACATAGCCTAACTGTTTAGTTTCAAGAAGAGCTCTGCATCTTTGTAAAGAACTTCCATTCTTCAGTGCCTTCTCCCTGGCTCTGCTACCCACCTTGGTTCTTCAGCTCCTCTCTGCAGGCAGCCTGCTTCCCTAGCACCTAAACCCTGCTATTCTGTGCGTCTCTGGCAGGAGTCCTTACCAGTCTCTGCCTCTTTCGCTGCCCTCTCATGACATCCTGACTCCTTAGCTTTTCAGAAAGTCTACATTTACCTAGAAAATTTGGTCCCTTTGTGGCAGAGATATACAGTTCCCTTTCTGAGGCAAGCCTCCCTCTCTCCCTGCTGTTTCCTTTCCAGTTATGACTGAGGACATGATTGATGGTAATATCCAGACAAGTAGAGCTTGTAGATCTACCAGAGAAGGCAAGTCCTCCATCTGCAAACCTCCTTTGATTATCTAGGGATGAGTCCCAAACTGACAGACCTTAGCAGGTTTCCTAAGAAAATATGCAAGCAATTCTTGGTATGTTTCCAGAAAAAGAAACTAGAGCCATTTGAGAGAATAGGAGACACAGTCAGAAAAGTGGGTTTCCTAGCACCTCCTAGCCATTTTACCCACAGGTTCCCAGCTCAGTAACTCAGTCCCAATGCCCACCTTATCTCCCCAGTTCCATGGTTCTGCTTTCATCCTACACCAAAGCCACTGACTCATTCCCTGAAGAATGGTTGTTCATGCTTACTTTGTTTTATTGCAGGATGTCAATGTTAGTAAAGGTGAATAAAACAGTCCTCCGTGTAAATATCAGATGTTGTTCTCAAGAATGGGAAAGGGAGAAACAGTTCTGGACACACAAGAAGTTCAACAGAACAAGAGAGAACTACAGTTCCACAAAGAAGAGATCTCTTCCATGGGCGCTTTTGGGCATCTCCCATGCAAGCAATGGCCAGGCCTTTCTTATACAATCTATTAAAGATTATAGTCCATTGTATTATTGCTGTAAGCTATAGCCAGGCTTTGTTTCTGAAGTTATTACAAAGACAGCCAGTGAGAAAACCCACCTCTCTCATAGAATACTATAAAATGGAGTGGGGACCCTCAGCATTGGGGAACCTGTGCTGGCTCTCTAACCTTCCCACTGCCTCACCACAGGGCTGGGACACACAAAATCTATTAGGCTGAGTATTCCTAAACTCTAGTGTGGGAGAGGAAAGTGGGGAGTGTCTTTCACCTTCTCAATTAGGCATCACTTCTCACCTGTGTGTGGCTCCCCCAACTGTTTTTTTCTGAGAGTCAGTGGCTCCCGACCCAAAAAAAGGTTCCCCACTCCTGCTATAAAACATTATCACTAAATTTCTCTCTCATATATGCAATAATGAATAAAAAAAAGTAGTGGTAGAGACGCGTTACACAGCTATATATATAGTTTTTTACATATATAAAAACGTTAACCCACAATTGCAGTCAGAAATATCTAGAACATCTGTGACAGCATGAACTATTAATCAGGTGCAACCTGCTTATATTTGAAAGTGAAGTGGGCTCAGATCCAGAACAGTAGTGTCTATTTTCAAATATCTAAGTGTTTTTCCTTCAGTTTACCTGTCAGTATCAGTTAAGGATGTTAAAAAGCAGTTAAGTAACCACGTAACCAATGAAAATCTCAGCAGTTACAGGGTTACACGCTGAGGGCTGCACTATAAGCTTATTCTGCAGAACCCATAGTGCAGCCAGCTCCCCGGGAGCTGAGTAGGCAGCCAGTGCATGCTGGTAACCATCTGTGCTATGGACTCTGCAGTTTACACTTTATACTGCATAGTCTGCAACACAGGGCGGCAGTCGGCTCCCTGGGAGCCGGTGCACGCCGGAAATGGGCTTTTAAGCCAGCTCACAGCACATACCAGCTCCTGTTTTACACTGTTTTAAATGAAAAATGTTTTTTGTGGTAGAGAGGGGTCCTGAGCACAACTCATCTTTCAATAAATGTTCTTTACAAATAGGGACATGCACAAGGGGAGCAAGCAAGGGCACACCTGTCCCCCTCCTCCTCCCCCCCCCCCCCCCCACTGTAATCCCCAGACATCTCTGCAGCCCCAGGGGAGGAAGTAGCAGGGTGGCTGGCTGTCAGCTAACCTCCTTCTCCCCTCTCTACAACAACTGCTGCATCTTCTTCCCTGCTAGCTCCAACCTACCCCCGCCAACTCATTTCAGCAGACAGCAGTGCTGGGACTCCAAAAGAAGCAGCAGCTGCTTCAGAGGTGAAGGGACAAATGAGGAGCTTAGCCTACAGCCAGCCACTCGACTGCTTCCTCCAACCCCAGGATACAGGGACACAGAGTGTGCTGTTGTCAGGAGTCCCACTGCCTCCTCACTGCTGGGCATCCCTGCCAGAGAAATCAGAGGTGCTTGGGGATGGGAATGTGAGCATGCAAACCTTTTGATTGCTTTGGGATGACCATGGTCGACAGACACAAACAAATCTCAATTCCTGTGCACACACCTGTTTATGTATTAGCAGAGCTTGCTGTCTGATAATCCAGGGAAACAGGAATTAATGGAAGGTACAACTTTAAAATTTACTGAAATTACTTGTCAAATTCTGGAAGTCTGCATGCACCCCATGAAGTATACTATAGAAGTGGTAAGTACACCATTTTCAGATGTTCGCATCTTCATTATTTTAGACCCACACTATTTCCAACTTTATCCAGCACACATTTCTCAGATCAGTAATTTGAGCTTTAAACGTGGCATATACACAAAGTATGAGCTATCTAAAGACAAAGATCTTCAAGATTAAAAGGATCTAAAGATTGAGGCATACTTGTTCTTGCTGGCATAACTTGAGGGTTTGAATTTTTTCCACCTAAGTGTTAAAAAATATTTCAGTTAAGAGCTAGAAGCCCCAAGAGAAAATTGCAAGGGGATGATGAGAAGTTTTGGAATAGAAAGGCTCTTGCAACTTAAACTATACAATCTCTAAGGCTTACTCACTTTTTTCTTTCCTCTCTCCATTTAGCAATCTCCTCTGGAGTATCTAGCTGTATTCTTTTAGCACCAGGACCATGCATCTAGGGAGGACAAGTTTTCAGAAGCGTTACAAAAAGCGATTGAAAAATATTCCCTTTATTCAATTACATAAAACTCTGCAACTTTAAAAAGCCAGACATTGTTGAAGTCAGGTGTAGCATACAGAAAATGAGATGACAAAAATGACAAATGGTGATTTTCAGTTCTATAATATTGTTTTTTACATGCTTTTTTACGTTTAATATGGGATTGAGGGTCAGTTTGGGCTGACACTGGACTTTGCCTAAAAATAACCAGAGCAGAAGCTAATAATCAATTCAGCAATTTCAATGGACTCAATGTTTGAAGCAGTCTAGAATACCTACATTCTTCCAGTGAATCTGAACCAACTTCTCATGTGCACTGAAACTGCAACCATCTTCTGCACACTGCAAGAGAAAGAAAAGCCCTCAATACTATATGAATGGAATTATGCAGCTAAGAACAATCAAAATATAGCTCGCTTATTTTTTAACTACATTGCATACCATTTCATATTAGATCACTGTCTTGAATAGCAAAACAAATTAACAACTGCTAATGCAGTCTCAGCCTTTTAGGTCTTCAAAGTTCTGCAAGTAACTAAGTACCAATACTACAGCATGAACACTTAAAAAACCCATTAAGTTACAGTACTAAGTTTCCAAGGAATACTACATTATTTTCACTATGTTTTTAAATATCCACTCTCCACAGTACTCATTTATGACATCAACTTAGGATTCAGAATGCATTCAAGAGTTAATACCAGTGAAGATCTTCTATCATAGTGGATATAAAAAAAAAGTCTGAGCTCCATCAGAGGATGTGCTCAAATTGTACACACTATATTCAGCCCTGTTCTAGGGCAGGGGACCCCCCCCACACACACACACACACATTTCAGATTGGGTGTAAACAACAGCACCACACTTCCAACACTGACGGGGTGCAGTCACAGAAGTCCACATTGGATTGATCCCTGGTGTGCTGATCATGCCATTGACATCCAACTTCTTGCTCTCTGGGGCTCCCCACCAGTCTACCTGTTGGGATAGATCCTCTGGTCTCCCCAAGACTAGGCACAGAGCTGGGGTAACTGGCCTTGCAGAGCAGTACAGACACTGGACCACTTCAGCTCTGGAAGGATGAATTTCTAGAGCACAACACCCAAGAAACCAACCCCCAAAAGAGATCAAAACCCCAAATAAAGCAAAAAAACCCAGTAAATAAATCTTTCTCTGTGTAAAAGTATTACACAGGGAAAGCTCATGAGGATGTTCACCCTCTTTATCAAGGAAAAAGAGATATGCACATATAACTTTTTACACTGGGCCTGATGAGAAACAATTGTTTTTATTAAATACAAACAGTAGGATTTAAGTGGTTGCAAATGAAAACAGATCAAAGTAAGTTACTAAATTAAAATGAAAAGAAACACATAGCCAGTTCTATTTCACTAAGACATTATCTTAAAGAGCTTTTCTTATTTCGGGCATAATAAGTCAGAGACCCTCTTTTACTGTAACTTGGGTCTCCAACCCTCTTTATATCCTTTTAGAGCGTGCCCGACCATTTCTCAGATGGACCAAAGACAAAGGGCTTATAGTGCCCCATTGCTTAAATAGACTCCCCTCCCCAGGCTCAGAGTCTTGGTTTACATCCCCTCTTCCTTAGAAATTTACCAGGTTTAAGATGGGCCCCAGTACCAGGTGGTAGGGTCACATGTCTCAAGAGGCCAAACACCTTTGGACTTACAGGATAAAGAAGGCTGTTTACAACTCGTTCAGTTGATGACCAAGTCATTAAAGCTGGGGGGGAAGGTCACACCAGCAATTGCTCTCAATGGCACATTTAAAATTATAAAGAGTATAATAATTAATATCTCTAACTTTACATACAAGAATGATACTAGGGATGTTAAAATACATTTATTCAGGTAAACATGTAACCACTGAAATTTTCACTTGGTGGTAGGAGGAGCTGGCTCCCTGCAAGCACTGGCTCCCACCTACCTCTTCTCCCTTTCTTCCCTCCCGCTGCTGCTTCTGTATCAGAGGCAGCAGCGGAGGAGGGCACTGCATGTAACCATAAAGGTAAACATGTTCACACTACCATATCCCTAAATAATACACGTACCAAAACAGGGTATACAGAGGCAACAGACTGTAACATTAAAATTGATAGGTTATATGAGGGACTTTGTCTAAAGCATCTTTGAGTTATGCATATTTCTGTTCACAGAGCATGGGGGAAGAGCTTCAAGCTGTACTGCTATCTATAGTTGGTCAAAACAAGGCAAACCCCACCAGCAGTGTCACCCCTGAACACTTCAGTAATTCACACAAAATGTTATTGCTTGTTCATAAATCATGAATAATTTCAACTGCTAAATACCAATTTTACATTTACCATTCTGAATCAAAAGACCAACATGATCAGCAACCCAATGCCTGTAAGACAGAACCTATGTATTCAATTAGGGCAGGAATGGGGAACCTCAGGCCCAGTGGCCAGATGCCATCCCTCAGCTTGCCTGGATCTGGCCACCTAAGGCTCAGGACTCCCCCCAACACTGGGGAATCCACACTGGCACTCCAGCCACCCTGCTGCCCCTCCAAGGAGATGGCGCACACAACATTTACTAGCCTGGGTCCCCTGGCTCTGGTGTGCAAGAGGTATGTGGAGAGTGTCTTCCTCCTCAGTTGGGGGCCACATCAGTGAGGAAATGTCTTTTTTTTCCTTTGCTTCTCACTTGTGTATGGCTCCCGACTGATTTTTCTGTCAATTTTCCCTGAACCAGAAAAGGTTCCCCACCACTGAATTAGGGCCTCAGTTTTACACCTTAATCAAAAAAGCACACCCATAGCAAAACAGTGACTCCTTGCACTATTTGTACAAGTTGAACCTCCCAAATCCAGGACTCTCTGGTCCAGTAACATCCATAGTCCAGCAGGCCACGGATGTTGCTTGCACCGGAGGCGGCAGTGGGAGACAACATGGGAGTTGGGGAGCTCAGGCTGGACCAGAAGCACCCGCACGAGACAGCAGCTGGGGGGCCCCTGACCTAGCCAAGGAATCGCCTCCCCCCCCCCATGTCAACAGGGCCAGGTGTGGTTGGGGAGCCCCCGTCCCAGCAGGGGAACCCTCGGCATCAGCTGGGCCAGATGGCTGGGGAATCCTGGCCCCAGCCAAGGAACCGCTGGCTGCAGAGGGGCTGCCAGTGGTGGGAGGCCTGGCCAGAGAGCCTGCAGCAGCAGCAGCACTGGTGGCAGGGGGGCCAGGGGGACCAGCCACCACCAGCCAAGAACACCCCAAATGAAGCGAAGATGGTGGAGGTGGACGGCCTTTCTGGGGAGAGGAGCCTGGAAGCAGGCAGCCAGCAGGGGAGCACTGACCTCATCTGGTCCAACAAACTCCCTGGCTCAGGACAGTTTAGGTCCTAGGGTGCCAAATCAGGGAGGGCCAACCTGCAGTCAGTGAAGGAGATGACTCCAATGAAAGTGCCACCTACCAATGGTTCCTGTAGCAAGTGATTCTCCGTTGGTGATCTCCCACTCAAGTACTGACTGGGCCTAAAACCTGCTTAGATTATGAAATTACAGGCCAAAATTGTGTGGCTACAAATTATTTTAAAAATCTTTTTTATAACAAACACTCCCACCTAATTAAACTAACCTGTGCGTGCTGTGCAACATGTTCGTCATATTTTTCTTTGTTTTTATAGCCACGATCACAAGTATCACAATAATTAGAGAAAACCGGTTCTTTTTTCCTCTTGTTCTGTTAAAAAGAGTGACACTGTTATGCGTATTTGTTTTTTTAAAACAGAAACCAATATGCCAGAACTTGCTTTCATTAAAATATTGAAATTAGTTTATAAAACTGGAGTTTCAATAGTCAAAACACTTGATACATAATCTATTCAGAAAAATGACTAAAAGTAATCAAATGTTTATATTCCATTTCTCAGTTTCCAACTTAAATATGCTCAAGTTTACATGTAACATTTTTTTACTAAGCATCATCACTGCCAACAACCCAACTGACAAAGCAGACCCATTACCTTTATTTTGCAAGAAATAAAGGTTCTTGTAACGTTAGTACATCCCAATAATAAAATCATGTGCATAGTGTACAATTTAAGTGAGTTAATTAGAGCATCCCTCTATTGAATGGATCCAGAACTTGTACTCATCTCATCATGGAATGGTCTTCATTATAACAATGGGTTAACATATATTACAATACAGGATTATGTTATAAACGTAACTTGTATGGAAGAATTAAGAGTACTGTATTCCGGAGGCACAACTGAAGTACTAGGGCCCACAGAATAGCTGTTACAAGTACCTTTTGCTTGTAGTTTCTACCTGGCGAATATTTAAAAAATGAAGGTGTTTCTTCAGCTTGCCATTCTTCAGTAAAATAGCAATCTCCACCTTTAATAAAAAAAAGATAAGTTACATAGAACTATTAAAACACTTTCTTCCATATTATGTTTGAAAAGAAAGCAGTGCACTTAACTGGAATAATCTTATAAAAATTCTTTTAATGAAAAACAGAAATTCAGAAGCTTTTTTTATCCATCTGATATTCCTTAGATCATCTGTGTAATCACAATATTGCCTGGAAATTAGCGTGGCCACTTAAAAAAACCTTTTAAAATACTGATTGATTATTTTAAAAGGAAGATAAACGTCGATTTTTTTGGTTTCTGTTTTCTAATGACATAATCAACATGGCAAATCCCAAAGAGACACAGCCTCCTTGGAGATATGTTACCGTGTCACCAACATTATTGACAAATAAAAGGCAAAAACCTGGTCTTAAGTTTCAGGGTTGAGTAGTTTGGGAAGGAACATGAGAAATCTCGCCCTTCGTTTAGTCCTATGCAAGTAGCAGCCAAAAACTGGGGGCAGCAACAACCACCTAAACAGATGCACAAACCAGGGTGCACGTGAGGAGCAAGACTGCGGCACCATGGACCCCATCTCTAGATGCAGAGGAGGAAAAACCCCACTCTGCCCGCTGGAGAAGGGATATGGGGGGAGGCAGGGATACTGGTGTCCGTTCTGCCCGCACGGAGGTGGAAGGCCTCCCCTACCTGGGTACGGGGCTGTCGGCGGCGGCTCCCCGTACACCGGCGATGGCTGGTACCAGGCGCCAGGCGGCAAATAATCCCCAGGCGGCGGCGCCCAGAAGCTGGGGTCCCAGGCTGCGGGTCCCGGGGGCGGGCAGAAGACGGGGGGCCTGAGCATGGGAGGCGGCGGCGGGTACCAGGCGAAGGGGTTCATGTCGGGCCCCGCAAAGACCCCGCCGGTGCTACTCGGGTCACTCATATGGCCCCTGTCAGCAGCCGCCTCCACATGGGAACACAGGAGGCCGCTGCATTACGCGTCACTTCCGGCACCACTGTAAACACCACGCCCCCAAAGGCAGAGTGCGGGAACCTTGCTGCCGGGCATGCCGCCGAGAAACGTCATCATACAGCGCCGGAAGGGTTATGGGGATTCTCAACCGCCCGTGCAACACAGGGTCGCGACGCAATACGCAAGCGCGCCCATCGCTGGGGCGGCCGAGGGGCTTGTGCCATGGCCCGAGAGCTGATGGGGCCGGCGCTGCCCCCAGGCTTTGCCCGCTATGCCGAGGCGGACCCGGATGAAGACTTCAGCCAGGGTGAGGACGCGTTAGAGAACTAAATGCCCCTCAGGCCCGGGCCCCAGCCCGGAGCTGCCTGCAGGGGACGTGCTGTGTCCGGGTTCCCCGAGGGGGCGCGGCCTGGGACTTCCGCGCAGGCTACGTGAGGCGGGGGCTTCTCAGGGGGAGTCGGTCTCGCCCCAGCTGGGGCTCAGTGCTGCCCCCCTCCCCCCCCCGCAGGCCCATGTGCTGCTGCCAGGCTGATCTGCACCGGCCTGTTAGCGAGGGACCCGCCTGGGGGCTCGCTGAGCACTTACCGCCCTGCCAGGGTGTTCAGGCTGCGGTCTGCGTCGAAGATTTCCAAAGGGCTCCGCACCTCCCGTGGACATTTCTAGGGGTCCACACATGTCACTCCCCTTTGTTCAGCGCTGTTGCCCTGCTCCGCCTCAGGCAAGCTTCCTGTTTAACAAGTTAGTTTTCTGTGTGCTGTAAATCAGGGGCATTGTTTCTTTGTGACAGCCGAGGAGCACACTTGCAACTTGCCTGATGCTACAAGGCTGCACTCAGTTTTTATATATTTCCATACATTAGATGAGAGAGAAGCATGTACATCTAGCCCTGATCTACACTGGGACCTTATTCTGAAATAATTCCTCCCCCAACTTAGAATTTATAAGCCGTGCGTCCACACTACCTACCATGCCCGTTACTTTGAAACAACAAGCTGTGGAATTTGAACTCTGCGCTCCTGCTTTTCAAAAGGAGTAATGCTAATTCTGAAATAGTAATTTCAGGACTCTCCAGTGACACTAATTCACACTTATTGGCCTCTGGGATGCCTCCTGCAGCTCCCCAGAGTGCTTTTCGGGGCTCTAAGTCTGAGGTAACGTGATGTTAATGGAACCTGCCTCAGACTAATTTCAATGCTTCCTCGTAGTGAGGATACAGATTTGTTAATTTCAAAATAGTTTCCTAGCATAGACATGGCCCTAAGGTATTTTCATGTAGTTGTGTTGTGGTACCTAAGATATTTTACATACATATGTCTGTTGTGTGATATTCTGTTTTCTCTCTTCAGGGGAAGCATTGTTAATGCTACTTACACATTACTTTTTCTGGCCTTACACATTGTCTATATATCAGATCAACATTTACTTGATCATTACCTGAATATTGTCATTTGTGGTAGACAGCAGAGCCTTCATTTATTTTATTCACATAATCAGTACTACTGGAATCAATGGGACAGCTCATGTAACCAGACATGTTTTCTCTATAAAAGGTTTATTATGTTATGTTATATTTCACTTTTTATTAAAATTCAGAATGGATAAAAGATTTTAAATGAATTTTTGTTTAAATTGGCTTTTAAAACGTATTTAAATTATAATGCTTTCTTTGCAAAAATAAACCTGCTTTAAATGAAATCTGAATTTAATACCAAATTTGTTAGTGTGAACTTACTAGAATACTAGAACTGGAAGGGACCTTGAGAGATCATCCTGTCCTGTCCCTTGCCATTATGGTGGGACCAAGCAGAGTCTATATCATCCCTGATAGATGTCTATCTAACCTGCTCTTAAATATCTCCAGTGATAGAGATTCCACAGCCTCCTAGGCAATTTATTCCAGAGTTTAACCACCCTGATAGGAAGTTTTTCCTAATGTCCAACCTAAACCTCCCTTGCTGCAGTTGAAACCCATTATTTCTTGTCCTATCAGCAAAGGCCAAGGAGAACACTTGTTCTCCCTCCTCCTTGTAACATCCTTTTAGATATTTGAAAACTGCTATCATGTCCCCTCTCAGTCTTCTCTTTTGTAAGCTAAACAAGCACAATTCTTTCAGTCTTCCATCAGAGGTCATGTTTTCTAGACCTTTCATCATTTTTGTTGCTCTTCTCTGAACGTTCTCCAATTTCTCCACATCTTCCTTGAAATGTGTTGCCTAGAACTGGACACAGTACTCCAATTGAGGCCTAATCAGCGTGGAGTAAAGTGGATGACTTCTTGTGTCTTGCTCACAACACTGCTGTTAATGCATCCCAGAATCATGTTGGCTTTTTTTTTGCAACCGTGTTAGACTGTTGACTTATATTTAGCTTATGATCCACTATGACCCCTGGATCCTTTTCTGCAATATTCCTTCCTATATTAATCTTAAAACACTTAAATAGAAATATGCTGAAATCCACAAACATCTACCAAAAACTTTTGAGTTAAAGACTGCTTTTCTGTGTAAGGAATAGGGATGTAAGAGTAGTTGATTAGTCGACTACTTAGTCGATTAGTTGACTGCTTGGAAGCCTGAGCTTATCAGGTAGTTGTGTCGACAACTCACATTTCCCCCTCCCCTTCCTGCCTCTATATCAGACAGCAAAGGGCAGAGAAGCAGGAGCTGGTGCTGGGGGAAGCCGGCTTAAAAGCCGGTTCCCTGCAGTACCGTCTCCGTGGTGCTGTTCCCCCCTCCCTGTGCTGTTGTCTCTGAGGCAGCCGTGCGGCAAGGGGCCAGGGAGACTGCTGTGGCAAAGCAGCCCCTGTCTGCGGCCAGCACCACAGCAGCTTGGGAGTCCCAGCTGGGACTGAGGAAGCCCGGCTCATGCCAAGTCCAGGAGCTACCCCTGCTGTGGCTCTGCAGTTTACATGAAGTAAGAGCTGTGCTGCCTGCACGCCCGGCTCTTACTACATTTAAACTGCAGAGCCGCGGGGATAGAGCCTTCTCTTTTCAACTAATCATGTAGTATCAAATAGTATTAACTTCATGATTACCCAGTTACTTCCCCTCTTTTCCCCTTCCTGCCCCCAACATCCTTAGTATGGAAAGAATTGAAGGGATAACTAATTTCTTAGGCCACATTATTAAATGTTGACCTAACAGGTCATAAACTGTACTATGAGCTTGTATTGTTTAATAAAAACAATTCTATATGCTGTTTTATGTGTTCAACTAAATTCCAGTTAACATCCTGATACAGCATGAAACAAATCATGAACAAAATGTTCATTATCTAGTAAAGAAAAAAAAAGTTACCATACTAGGAATGTTGTCTAACATATTAAGAATGTACAGTTAATAAGAATCTGAAAATATGAAGCTGCTGTAATTGCTTAAATAAAGTTATCGTGTACCCTCCTAGGTAGCCAAAAAAAGTAGTAAAACTAGAATAAAAGCTGTATTTAGTTGTGTATCAACATGTTTTAACTTATATTAAGCAACGTGAATTTTTTTTAAGAAAATAACTGAAGTACAACTGGAAGTTGATTAAAATTGATAATTTAAATCAAGGCTTTCCACTTGGTGATTTAAATCATGATTTAATTGCATGATTTGAACCTCCTTGATTAAAATCAATCCATCCTGTTAAAAATAGTTTTCATGTCTAGGTTGGACCTAGTTTCATTCATTAGCATTAATATTTATTAGTCTCTAAAGTGCCACAGGACTGCTCGTTGTTTTCAACTATGTTAAAATTTGTTTTGGGTTTTTTTTTTTGGTATATGTATAACCGTGAAAATGTTTAGTAGTTACCTTTACGTGGGTGCGAGGGAACCTCTACGGGAGTCAGTGTATGTGGGGAGCCAGGTTTTAGACCGGCTCCTTGCATGTTCCAGCTTCAGTGAGCTGCTGACCTCCAGCCTCCCTGTGCGCTGCTGCCTCTGTATCAGAGGCAACAGTGCAGGGGCGCAGGTGGCGGCTGCTGCCAGAGGGCTACTGCTGTGCAGGCTGGGAGCCAACAGTGCAGGACCTAAATCAGCTGGGCTGGAGCAGCTTCCGGATCATGGTTAACTGTTACCTGATAAGCATTACCTTTATGATGCTTACTAAGTAATCTGTACACATCCCAGTTACCTATCGCATACTATTTTTTTCCATAGACTCCCTGCCTTATTCAATGCACAGGATGGATAGTGCACAGTTACTCAGCAGTTCAGTATTTTGTTTTATCCTCATTGTTCAGTGTGTATCTCGATGCCTTGTTTGCTGCACACTATTCAAACCCTTCCCTGAAAACAGAATTATTAATTTCCTCATGGACTTTCCTAAAGTGTCTGAGGACTTCACAAATATTCATTTATCTTTGTAACACTCATGTGAGCTGAGAGAATAGTTTTATCCTGATTTAACATCTGGGAAGGTGAGAGAGAGTTCATGGGCTAACGTTTTCACAGAATCTCGGTGCTCACATACAGAAGACTTATGCTTATTTTTTCATGATACTCAGAATTATATGGCATTTAGATAGTAAAATCATAGCTTCTATTGAAGCTTCTGACTTCTGCAAGTTAGACCCCTGGGTTTTCTGTCAGACATCATGTTTCTGACATCTATGAAAAGATTGGTTTAAATGACTTGACTAGCATGACAAAGAAACTCACTAGCAGAGACAATATCTAGCTCTCCAGGGCAGCATTCATAGCTAAACCCTCTTGCAGCCACTTGCCTCCTTTACTATGTGCAACAGGTGAGGCAGGGGGGCTACTAACAATAGTTTCCTTCTTTGCACAATCCTGATTCATCCCCAGAGTAGATCCATCCTGTGTGCTGAAAGGCTGGCATCCTTTGAAAAAATAGTATGTGGTCATTGAATTAATGTGTGATATGTGTGTTCAAAGGGGCTGAAGTAAGGTTGCACAAGCAACCTTAATTATGGCATTTCTAACTTTTAAGTGCCTAATTTTGCAATCTTAATATTCTTTTAACATATTTGTGTGTAATTTCCTAGCATTTAACAAAAAAGGCAAAGTGAGAAACAAGTTCCATGATATGACAACATATTGATACATGCATCATCGAAAGGGTTCGTCCACTGTGCAGACCTCTCCCACAAGCTCACAGAGTACCTGATAGATATGGACCAGCACTAGAGGGGAGTGAGACAGAGATACTTTGCTAGCAGCTTTCACACACACACATTTGTGGACAACAAAAGAATGTTGAGATTGAACGAATCGTGGGTTCCATTCCGGGTTTTGGAAAGGAGCCTTCTATAGTCGGCACAAACTCTTCTACCCATACCACCTTCCTACTCAAGATTAGCCCTTTCTGCTCTGTGGTCTCCAGCCTATCCCAATCTTGTCTTTCCCATTTGGGGTTCTTTGTTTTAGTCCCGCTCTTTTTCTTGTCATTTCCATTATCCACACCTCAGGCTTTTCATCCCAGTTCTAATCTCCCCACCCAGTCAATACTAATCTCCCCTTCCAGGCTCACTTTTGCTTCCCAGGTCCCAGTTTCTCCTCCTCCTTCTCTTGCCCCCTCCTCCCCCCCGCCCCGCTCTTCTCCACACCCAGCCCCTGTCCCAAGTCCTTGTTCCCAGTCTCCATGCCCAACCAGTCTCAATTCCCCCATCCTGGATTTTCATTCAGACTTTCTCTTCTGTTCTCCCTCCCCTGATGGCTCCCAGTCTTACCTTTTCAGACTTTTTCTTGGATCTAAATTCCACCTTCCCAGATTTCTCCTTTTCCCTCTGTGGCTCCTTGATTCAGTCTCTTAGCCTAGCCAGTCCCCATTCTCTCCTGCACCAAGCTCCTTATCAGTGGCTCTAGCAAAAGTTCACTATACTTCTTCCCATCCAGATAAGTTTCTCTTCCTATCTACCTTAAAACCAGTGTTAAAATTTCAAAACACCCTATCGAGTTTATATGTTTCACAATGCATTCTCAGGCATAAAAAGCCCAGTAATGTCAGAGCCATTCAATCCTGTGATTTCAATTATTTATTTATGCTCTGATTGAACTGAGCATTTAAATCACACACTTAAATCAATTTTTATTCAGCATATCATTTAAGCTTGTGCTTACATGCTTTGCTATGTCAGTACCTTAAGTCATAGTTTTAAACATTTTCTCTTAATTCTTCTGTAGCAGCAGGACTGTTTGAATAAAACTAAATCCAGCAAAGTACATATTTTGATAAGTCTGGTAATATATAAAGTATTTAATAAATATCCACACTAAATCTTGATGTTTAGTTGCAGGTCCAGTATTGCCTCCTGGTTACAAAAAAGGCTCCGAAATGCCTGACAGTAATGAAGGCTCTGAGTCACCTCCTCTACTTAGAGAAACAAATAGAGATTCTGAAGAGGAGCAGGACACTGAACCAGTACCAAAGTCAGTCTGTGTGTCATTCATATATTTACACTAGTAAAATAAGCAAAAATTGGACCACTTCATATGACAAGTTGACTGAATTAACCCAGATGCAGGAAAGGGGATAAATTATGCAACTCCAGAAGTTAAATGCCACCCCAAGACAGGGCCGGACTAAGGGGTGGGCGAGCCGGGCAGCTGCCCAACGCGCCTGATGGCGACTGTAAGGGGCGCGTGGCATCCCTTATAGCTGCCATCAGGCACCGCGCACCCGGCTCCCACAGCGCCG